TGCACATTCTCCGTGTCTGCGGGGGTTTCCTCTGGGTGATCCAGTTTCCTCCCACAATCCAAAGATGTGCAGGTTAGGTGGATTGGCAATTTAGCATGGCCATAGTGTGCAGAGATGTTTAGGTTAAGTGGGTTAAACTTGGGAAATGCAGGGGTAGGGGGTTGGGTCTGGATGGGATGCTCTTCAGAGTGGCTGTGTGGACTTGTTGGGCCAAATGGCCTGTCTCTACACAGCAGGTATTCTATGATTCTAAGTAGTAGAGATGGGCACAATTACACCAGTTAAAAGACATTTGCACAAGTACACAAATAGTAAAGGTTTGGAGGGATATGGGCCAAAACCGGCAGATAGGATTAGTTGAATTTAGGAAACTGGTTGGCACAGAAGAGTTGGGCTGAAGGATCTTTTTCTATGCTGTATGACTCTAACTTTTCTAACTTGCCTTTAATTGGTCAATGCATTGAGTATAGGAGTTAGGACATCACATTGTGGCTGTACAGAACGTTGGTTAGTCCACTTTTGGAATACTGTGTTCTCAATTCTGGTCTGCGTGCTATAGGAACGACGTTGTGAAACTTCAAAGGGTTCCGAAAAGATTTACAAGGATGTTGCCAGGGTTGGAGAATGCATGCTATAGGGAGAGGCTGAACAGACTGGAGTGTCGGAGGCTGAGGGGTGAGCTTTATAGAAGTTCATAAAATAGGGGCATGGATAGGGTGAATAGCCAAGGTCTCTTTCCAGGGTGGGGGTGTCCAAAACAAGAGGCCGTAGGTTTAAGGTTAGAGGAGACAGATTTAAATGGGACTGAAGGGTCAACAATTTCACGCAGATGATAGTGCATGTATGGAATGAGTTGCCAGAGGAAGTGGTGGAGGCTGATACAGTGACAATGTTTAAAAGGCATGCGAATGGATTTATGAATAGGAAGGATTAAGAAGGATATGGGACTAATGTTGGCAAATGGGACTAGATTAATTTAGGATATCTGGTGGGCATGGATGAATTGGACTGATGGGTCTATTTCCATGCTGCACAGTTCTGACTCTAAGTGCCATGCTATGTCTTTTTTTAATAGTTTTTAACAGTTTTCTCTATCATATTGAGTTAACTGGCTTATAGTTTCTTGCGTTCTATTTTGTTTTGTTTGAATAGTTTTTTTTCCACTTTCTATCAAATGGAATCTTCCCCTAATCAAGGAATTTTGTAAAATTTAAAGCCTATGCATCAACTATTTTACTAGCCAATTCTTTTCAGATCCAGGGTGAGTATCAGGACCCAGGACTTTCCAACCTGCAGCTCCAATAATTTACTCAGTACCACTTCTCTCGTGATTATAATTTGTGCTCCTTCCTGACTTCTAGCTGCTTTTGGCATGTTACTCAGTCTCTACAGTAAAGACTGATGCAAAATGACTGTACAATTAAAATGCTGTATCAGCTTATTTTCCGCTATTAGATTCCCCAGACTCCCTTTCAATAGGATAAATGCTAACTTTGTTAACTCTTATTGATAGTCTCTTACTGTCTTTTATTTCTGGCAAGCTTTCTCTCATACTACAGTAAATTTGCCTCTTCAGTCATTCTTTCCTTTTTTTTTTGATTTTCTGTCCAATCCTCTGACTTGCTGCTTGTCTTTGCCCAATTGCATGCGTTTTATTATCTTAAACTTTTCTAGTTAACCACAGTGGTGGCTCCAGCCTTGAAATTCTTACTTGTTGAAATATATCACTACTGCGTAAATCTGAAATATCCCCTTAAATGTCTGCCCTTGCTTTTCTATTGACCTATCCATGAGCCTAAATTGCAAATTCACTTTAACCAGCTCTGCTTTCATATCCTCACTATTGTCCTTTGCAAAACTTTTGAAAAAGTCTAGATCCATTCCTCTCCCTCAATTGAATGGAAAATACATGCATATAATCATTGCTGTTATATTATGTTATCATTAATTAATCCTATGTCATTGCACAATACCAGGCATCAGATTGTCTGGCTCCAGAACATATTTAGGATTTTCTCTGACCAGGACTGCGGAGGTATCTCGTAAATAGATCATTTCCTCTTTTTCATTGCAAATCTCCATCTAATTCTTTAGAATTTTTAACCCTGCAGGCAAGTTGTGTGGATCTTCACATTCAACTTTCTCCAGCCAGCTCCCCAATATTGTCTTCGTCTCTTTGTAACTTCAGTTTTTTTTCTAAATTCCGTATGCAGTGGTGTTTGAATGGCCCAGACTCTAATGGTCCTGTTTTTGTGCCAAATATATAATATGTATCATACTACATTGTCTGATCCCTTAGTTAAATATTGCAATTGACGTGCACCAGTACTGCATTGTATCTGCTCTGAAGAATTAAAACTGCAACAGACTGCAGAAAGAAATTAGATTGATTTTTAGTGTGTTCCTGGAAAAAAAAACTAGCTTTTATTTTGTGTATTTAGTATTTTAACCAAGTACTTTTTTGATGCCTTCATAAATAAATCTATTGAGAGTTTTTTTTTGAGATAAGGCTTTCTCATCTGCACGGTCATCAATTGTGCAATGGTTGCAATACTGTGTGTTTGTCTGGTCTTCTCTCAAGCTTTTTCTGTGTTGTTCATGTGTCTGAAAAATTTAATATTTCTTGAACGCTATAAAAATAGTATATTAAAGGTACAGGATCCTATAAACTTTTTAAATAGCTTCATCAAAATACTGTATTCAGGACTTGTGTATCTGAATTCCTCCATGTGTGCTCTTTTTATGGTTAATATGTATCTTCTCTGTTTTATTCCTTCATCCCTAAATGTATAACCACTTTTTTTTTCTGCACTAAATTTTATTTGACATTCATTAGCCACCTTGAATGAAATCTTTCCACTCCTTTTGGCAGTTAACCAGTTAGTTTACTTTTTTAAGGTGCCTTGAAATTTAGTTTTCTCCCTGTATTCAAGCCCTTACTAGTTGTTTTTAATTTATGGATTCACAGAATGGTTCCAGGCTAATTGGCCTTTGAAGTCTTGGAGAACAGGTCTTGCTGGATATGGTAACATATTTTGATAGTTTATGTGGCCCTTTAATATATGCTGAGATTAAATTCTGATCTACTATTCAGTTCTTCTAGTGTGGTCGGTGGTTATTGGTGCCTATTGCTAATTTATGTTCATTGGTTATTGACTTAAATGGAATATTTTGATTGTCTGTGGACATTTTCTAAGTAATTGAGCAGCACCGTCAATATTGTCATACTAATTTAGTAGATTATCAAGTTATTTGGAAAGTAATTCTTAATTTTAATCTTGTGTATTTATTGTAAAATAATTGTATATTACTCTTTCTGCCATGGCTACTACTTAACCTGAGTGATAAAGTCCAAGCGCTTCCCTAAAATCACCGAGTCTATAATTGATCTTTTTTCCCATTGTTCAAGTAGTCAATGTATGAAATCCTCCTTTCATTTTCAATTTTACTGAAATGTGTAAAGAGTGGGCATGCAGAGAGAGATTCTTCATGAATGCACCTCCCTTTTCAGTAATTTGACCCCCATTCCAGATTTTTCCAAATGCCATGACGGAAGCAGCTTCTTTGGCTGATTATTTGGTAACAAGCTGCACACCACTGTACTCTCATGAGTTTCATTGAGGCTCAGATGTCTCTAATTATATAAAGGAGCAATATATATCAATCTTGAAGATTTTTAATCATTTTCCAAAACAAAACACGTAGGTTGGTGTTTTTTTTTAAATTTTTTTTACTTCTATCACTGCATGAAAATGCCTGTACTGAACTGTTCCTTCAGTCCACATGGAAAATGTAGAATAGTGTATCTCATTTTTGAGGATGCCAATTGATTCTGAATACTGTATAAACCCAGGCTGAAAGTCATTGGAATCATCTTTCATCTTGGGGCCTCAGTTTGAATTCAGCTTAGGCTAGCTGCTGTCTTGGACAAGGGGTAAGGTTACGTTACACGGAAAAGGCATACTAAAAGAATTGTGTTTCTAATAGAATGGGGGAAGCATTGCACTGAGACCTGGTAATTGCTGTACGCTTGTAACTATTTTGCAGCCTTAAAATTTTAAGGTTCACACTTTGACCAGACAAAGGGTAAAAGTAAACATTACTTCAAAAAGACCAATCGGTATTTGGTTTTACATCAAACATTAATTTAATTAGTAACTTCCTTACAGGTCTTTGTTGAGCATTGTTCATAGTAGTGAATACTAATGCAATATAATGTCTAGTGTGCCTAATCTGGTATAATGCCCTGTCCAGTCACACACTGCTAGGTAGTGTTGGATCACTTGCTGTTTGTAGTGTACATTAATGATCTAGACATTACTGTAGGAGGTTTGATCAGTAAGTTTGCAAACAACATGAATTTGTGTAAGTAGTGAGGAGGATGGCTTAAAGTACAGGACGATATAAGCAAGCTGATCAGATGAGTAGAACATTGGCAAATTGAATTTTAATGTGTGATAGATTTTGGCAGGACTAACAAGGTGAGGGACGAATTGTAGGACCCTGGGAAGTAGACGATCTATGCGTATGTCTGCAGATCCTTGAAGGAAGCAGGACAAGTGGTTAAGGATAATTGAAAGCCTAGGAGGAACAAGAAGAAATTTTTTTCCTTAGCACAGGGATCATTAACAAGAAGTCATGACCTTAAAGTAAAGGGCAGAAGATGTAGAGGGGATTTAAGGAAGAATTTGTTTTGCCCTGAGACTGGTGGATACCTGCTTGAAAGAGCAGTAGAGGCAGGAACTGTCAACATTTATGAAGCAGTTAGGTGAAATGCCATTCCATGCAATCTGAGACAAGTGCTTTTATGCATCCATACCGTAAGAAAAAAGTTTTTGCTTTGCAACTGAGATTATTTACAATCTTCTCCATTTAGTTTCTGGGCAGATCTGTTAGCTTTTTCCTTTTTAATGTGTGATCTTTGTTCCTTCTGTGAATTATCTACCTTTTTTAAGCTATAAAAGTATGTTTACTAATTTGAGATGTTCTTTCTATTGCAGTTGGAAAAACATCACTGATAACAAGGTTCATGTATGACAGTTTTGACAACACTTACCAGGTGAGTGACACATTAGACCAGTAGCTCTCAAAAATAAGAAGGTCTGAGCTTTGTGCTCCTCTCATGTGCTTCATGTAGTAATGAGACATCAGGTCTTGTCAATGAACAACAGGCTTTATTAAAACTAACACTATACACAGGTTAATAAGAGAGAACATCTCCCTTGTAGCCTAACAGACCCCAGCTTCAGTTCCATGTGATCTGATTTCACTACGACATAATTCCTTTTGCACATGCTTATACATGTAGTTCGGATATATCATAAAAACACTACTAGGGCAGGTGGAACTTGAACCTGTACCACCATAAGATCTTTATGCTTGTTATACCTGAACACGATACATCCTATTGGTCTATGCTGAATTTCTGTTTTAACTTGCACAGACTAAGGAAGGGGAATGGAGAAATATCAAAATCTTTTACGAATAGACTGGAGATTGTTACTATGCATGTTGTTTTTACCACTTTTTTTCTAGGATGTGGCTGTCACTGACAGGGTCATAATTCATTGCCAATCTCTAATTGCCCTTGAACTGAGTAATTTGCTGAATGTTTTCAGAGGGTAATTAACAGACAACCACATGATGTGAATCTGAAGTCGTATGTACACGCCAGACCAAGAATAGTAGATTCCTTTTCCCAAAGGACATTAGTTAGGTTTTTGTAAAAACCTATCATGATATCATGATTTCATGGTCACGGTTTCTCAGGTGAGCTTTCATTTCCCGATTTTATTAATTTGAATTTCAATTTCAAATAAAACTGAAACCAAAACACTAAAGGAGGTTTGAGACAAGTGAGCAAAATCTCCATCAAAGAGGTTTTAAAGATAAAGAGAAAGGAATTAAGTAATTTCAGAAGGAAATTTGAGTTTGGACTGAGCATGGTATCGTAGTTCCTGAGGGTGAAATTAAGAAAATCAGCAAACCCACAGGCCAAAATCGGGGAATGCACATATCTTGGAATGATTTGGAGATAGGTTTGTTTGCTCCTATTTCTTGATGAAGCTATGATTTTTGATTGGCCATGAGAATTTTCCACGATATAGGTGAGACCAGAGGAGGTTTTTAAGGTACTAAGCAACAAACTCACTGATTTACCAATGTTTGAATGATTCCACAGCTCTAATGGCTTTTGATTGCATGATCTCTCTTGGGTATAGGTGCCATTGGCTATTGGGTTTTTAAGTCTTTAAATGAAATTTGCTATTGAAATTAAAATCAGCTGTTTTAAGTATCTATGTTCTTGATCAGTCCTGGACTGTAATCACTTAAGTGTTTTTGATTCCGAAGGCATGTTCTTTAATCTAGGAGCCTTTCGACTTATTTTGCCTTATGAAAGCTCATTATGTTTACTGAGCTCTTTTTTAACACACTATTTCTGGAGCCTGTTGACTATGTAATCATACATTCATGATGGAACTTTCCACAACTGAAAGGGAGTGAGCTCGTTGGCCTAATCCTCCTAAAGTCTCCTGAGCTTTGAAATGTATTACATTGAGTCATAGTCTTCTCTGTTTCCAAGTAAGTATTGATTAGTAATACAGTTTCACAGTCAGTCCCTGCTTGAGTGAACTAATGCTCGGTAAAGTTGGCAACTTGGCACAGATGGTTTATTGGAAGCTACCAACAATCGCTCACCTCCAGAGTCAGATACTGCCAAACATTTAACTGGAAATTTGGGGAGAACTGCTATCAGCCAGTAAACTATGATTCAGCTGTTTCTCTTTTTCAGCATTACTCAAATCCTGTACTACCAAGTTACCATATTTTGTAAAGAAATAACCATTTGGTCTCTCAAATCAATCCATATATAATTCCATTATGCAACTTCTACACCCTTATCATAAAACTCTTAAGGGGACTAAATTTTGTCAACATACAAAGATCAGAATTCCTGATTTAACCCATGTCCATTTATTGTGATATTGGTAGCAGATTAACTACATGCAGACTTATCACTTCAATGCTTTCAGTGTCCTGCCAGAACTATGTTGTTGATTAGCTGGGTCTATCAACAAGAGGCTAATTTTGAGTGATTCACATCACTTAAAGCTAACTTATACTGAGGTGCATTCCGTCTAGAGCATGTGTTGGCAGTCATGCAGGATCTGACTGTCACCTCAAACATTGAAGAATGGCACAATGTTTGCAACAGTCTCCAAGGTATTTGGACTCCACCCAGAATGTTTTTGTGAAGGAGATTGAATTCTGAACAGATCTTCTTTCCATGTGGAGGTCAATGCCTGGATTTGGATGCAGTGCTGAAAGTTGTTCAGTCATCTCATGAGTGGTTCAGGTCAGTGAATTCAACTCCTTCAGCTGTAGTGTTCCCATCAATTATACCACTAGCTTTAAGCACTGCTAAATTTATGCTTCTATCACTTTCCTAAAAGAATATCTGTTTACCTAGCTCATATCTGGCATTCAGATCCTGCACTGCACCTTCACATATTTTAATACTGCTGCAAGTCTTGCACCTACATCTTGAAGCTTGCACATGCTACCAGCTACTCAGCCGTGGCAGCAACATCAGCCAATCAGATTGCACAGCAAACTGGAATGCTCCCGATGTTGCAGACAAAGACTCCTCACCAGATGAATCCAAGCAGGCTTGAATGTTGCAACTCCCCATAGGAAGACAATGCTGTCATGGCTTGTAGCAGGAATTAAATCCTCATACCCAATCCTTCTCTGTATCTCACCTCTCCTTCACTCCATGATCTTGTCTGATGTTCAGTAAGTTATTCGTTGTCCACTCTGCAATCTACACTTGCACCCCTTCTCCTCCTTTCAGATACTAGAAGTGCAAGCCAGCTAGTGGAGGACATGAGGAAACTGTGATGAAGATGCATCAGAATTTAGTTGTAGTCTCTGAGACAACAGCTCAGATATTGGCACTGTTTAGTATAGAGGTGACATCTGCATGTCAGGGAAACACTAGGCTCAAGTGGCCTTAAACTGATGCAGGGATAGCACAGCTGCTGGTTAACTGAGGGAGACTTCACAAATGAGCCCTGCTGCCGGGGTCGTAGATGAGCACTTTGGTGATGTTTACCATAGAATACTAATGGGTGTATGCAAAGAATTGCTTGGTGCATTGGGAAGTAGATGGGGGGAGAAACCTGCAGTCGATGTCAAGGTGCATGGAGGGGCTGCACCAAATGGGCTAAGGGTTTTGTGTAGTGCGTAGTGGAAACTCTGTGGTCGCTGTGACTGGATTAGTGTTCAGTAGGGTTTGTAGGGTCTTTCAGCAATCCAGCAACTTCTAATTGAACAGATTATCAGGATTGCTGAGGCATTGCCACCCATTTAGTCTACAGCTGGGCTTCTAAACACACAACTGGTCAATGTTAACCTATAAAGTCATCTGCCATTTGCACTGAAAGCCATCAACCATGCTACAGTGCAATGTGTATGTGTACTAGTGCAGGAAATAAATGCTCAAGAGAAATGGGTATACCTTTTGTTTGAAAGGTGGTATTGAAACTTGATTCAGAATTTTTTTTTTAGTCAGCATTTATTTTTGCATTGTGGCAAAGTAATGCTGTAATGTTTAATCACGGGAAAGGTAAGATTTGGGAATGTTGGTGAGCAGAGAATTGGGGTTGCAGTTACTAGTATCATACTTGGATGAAAGCAGCAGTCTAGGTTACTTCCTCCCTCCCCCCGCCCCATAGTGGCTGGCAAAGACAGCCTTCTTTATAATATTTACATTGTCCTGCATTTAATGATGAGAGCAGCAGAAGCATCACTTAAAGTCTTCAATGATCTGCTTGTGTAGCAGCGTAGCATTTGACACACATGCATGGGTTGGGCATTGGAGTTACTGTCTCCCACCAACCACCCTTTAGTTTGTGGGTTAAATACAATAGCTGGTAAAACAGATTACTGGGAATGAGCAAAGCATTAGACTGCATGATTCTTTTGTCTCTTGTCTCACACCACTAATTGGTTACGGAAAAGGTAAGGCAAACTTGATAATTCATCCATAGCTATGTATGGCCAGTCACAGGCATTGACACTGTTGGGAAACGTGCATTCCTAACAAAGGCACAAGTTCACAAGGCAAGATGAAGTGAAATGCAATTAGCTATCATTGCATGGAGAGCTTCTTTGACCTCCAGTTTCCTTCCACTCTTGTGTAAGATGTTGCAAATATCTCCTCTGAAACTCTAGAAAGAACTAACTACATAAAGCATCATTGCCACAGTCATCATCTCAGCCATTTTTTGAATGTAACCCTGGCCCTGCTCTGAGGTTTTAGTTGTGGCTGCAACAGGTAGCAAGTTCTGTTGACGCTGTCCTTACTGAAATGCAGGTATTTTGTGCAGTATTCTTTGCTGAGACTTGCAATGGCAGTTGCTCCATGAATACCTTGGGCAGTTGGAGTTGTCTCCTGAGAACCCTTCTCTTTTTATTCTAGCTGCCTGTCTTGCTCTGCTGTCCCTCTATTCATCTGAACATTGCTGTAATCCAAGGGAAATGCCTGCTATTGTACAGCTCTTAAATAATTAGTTTGTGCAGAAATCTAGAAGTCAAGACTAACTTCTCAGCACGTGTTGTGGCTCTCCCTGTAAAGTTTGACAACTAAATATTGTATAATCAAAGTGACGTCCCGAAGAATTCAACTAGCAGCTGACTTGTAACTAATCAAAATTAGCTGATTATCCTTTTAATTAGCTTTTGTGGGGAGTCGTTCTGCTGTGATTTCTTCTATACATTCAGTTGTCTGATGTTATAAGAGGTCATAAGCTGGATAACTGAGATTCAAAATGGCACTGCTGACATCAAATCAGTATTATACAGCTTGCAATATTTTGATCTGTCTGTTTTGCATACCTCCAACTTCCATTTCCTGTAACTACCAATACCGAAAACAACTTGCCCAAAGGAGATCATTTCCACCACAAAAAAATGGTTTTGGAGGTCTGAGCTTACTCAATGCCCAAAGAACCGGTACAAGCAATCCCATTTTTTTTTTTTTTTATCGCCTCTAGTTTGTTTTCTAACAGGAAGAGAGTCGAATATCATGTTTCTTTACTTTCAAGCTGACTTTTCAATACATGGCTGTCCACTTCCCTTTTCAAATGTGCCAGGACACTAAATGAAGTATCTTTGGAAATTTTCCCATGACGAAAAGTTTTCTGAATCTAACTTTTCGATTTATTATTGTCACATGAACCTATGTACATTAGAAGTTTTGTTTTGCATATAGTATAGGCAGATCATAACAAAGATCATAAAGCGAGGAATACAACTGCAAAGAAGGTGCACAAAAAGCAAGATCAGCGTTTTAGATTGGGAATTTGAGAGGTCCATTCAAAACCTAAAGTGGGAACTCAGATTTAGTGGTAGTGGGCAGAGCAGGGACCGAGGTCTCAACTGTATTTGAGCCCTACATTTTGCACTTGTGATAGTTTGTCCTGTGATAAGTGTATGTCTTTCTGCTTCCTCCTAATATGGTGTTTTGTTCCCAGGCAACAATTGGAATTGATTTCCTGTCAAAAACAATGTATTTGGAAGATCGGACGGTGAGTATGATCATATTTACAAATAAGAATTTTTGTGTCTTAAACTAGCGCTATCATTTTGTGAACCCATTTGTTTCAGGTTGGTGAAAAGGCATTGAATAATGTGCAGGGGGTGCTGATTGGAAGATTTTGGATTTATGAATAGTCAGCAGAATGGAAATAAAACTAAAACTTGTGTAATCTTTCATGCCGCAGAATATAGCAGCTGCTTCAATCCTGAATCTACAAGGTTGAAACACATTTTGCTTTATGTCCTCTATAGTATGCTGAATTATGCCAGAAGCTGTTTATTTTTCTAAAGATGAATAATAAAATTGAAACAATTTACTGGCTGTGAGCTGGTGTTCGGTGCTAGTGAGTATTTCTTAATTAATTTTGATTTGGTTGTTGAGACATACTGCATGGATTGGATTAAGTCTGCAAAATAATTATGCAGTATGAGAACTGGATTCCTATACTGAAGAGAAGTGATGTTTTCACTACTTGTGTTACAGTTTCTAGTTATCAGAGCAGTTGAACCTTTGCAATTACTGGGCTGTAAATTTTGCAGATTGCCCATGTGTCTCAAAACCATGACATCTGTCTTAGTTTTCTTTCTCCTGAAGATGTTATCCCATACTGGTATATGATTTCATTAACACAAGTTCCTTTTGAGTATCTTGTTCAATTAGGCATGTTTCATTTTGGAGCCTAAATGGTGAGTAGGCTATTCACGTAAAGTGAAATCTTGAGTTTGATGTTCTCACTTAATTTTGAGACATATATCCCTATGCAGGAAATTAAGTAATGGGAATGTGAGCTGCAGTTTATTTGGCATGTTTTCTCCTCACTCCGTCTTGACCACTGCTCACCAGCTACTGATCCTAATCTTGTAACATCTGCTATAATCCTGGTTAAAATGAGTTAATTCAGAATAGATTAATCAATTGCCATATCATATTTATGCATCTTATCAAATAAATCACGTATCCAAAAATTCATTCTACTTCTCAATGTTAGTAGCAGGTAACTGTTTGTGAAATGTACTGTTCAGATGTTCTGAAAATGCTCCAGCCTTGTTACTGTTCCCCATAATCCCATTTATTATGTGCAGTTAGAGAAAGCAGACATGCATGTTGGTAAGGGGTATTAAAATAATCAGGAACTTTGCATTCACAACAAAATCAGGAGTAAATATCAGCCAGTGAGACTAAAGTTGGTTGCTGATAAAACAATTGAATTTGTCAACCAGGTCCATTCACTTCCATCACTCGGGCCTTATTGATTTAATCTGGACACTATTTCAATTAATGGCTCAGATTGTAGGAGACTAAGGGAATCCCTTTAGTTCACTTGAAATTGTCTGGCTAAGTGACAGTTGATTTTGAGCAGATTGCATCAATGGATAGAGCATGAAGTATTGTTAAGTATCACCGTTAAAGTTCCATTGTTTAGAGCTTACCTTCTTGCACTTCTTTTCACTTTTTTTTTCTTGTAAATAGAAAACAAGCTCCCAGCAAACATCCCTGGGGAACACTGTCTGTAACTCTAAAGTTATACAGTTATATCTGCTGTCTTTTTGTCCCCTTTTGTTTCATTCATGCTGCTACCGATGCTTTACTATCTTAAACTTTGAGCAGTTCTCCTAAGACCTTGCTTAATGCCTCCTAAAAGTCTCTCAAGACACAAACAGCATCCCAAGAAAAATAGAAAACCAGGGAGCAAAAGGTCAGAGGAATTTAAACCAATCACTATAACTAGAAGAACAAGCACTATGAAAACCAATGGGTTAGAGACTGATAATTCCCCTGGACCTGATGGTCTGTATGTCACATTTTAAATGGAAGTGGCTGCAAAGACAGTGGATGTGTTGGTTGTAATTTTCCAAAATTCCTTAAATTCTGGAAAGGTTGCAGCAAGTTGGAAAGCTGCAAATGTGACATCACCTTTCAAGGAAATGGGAAACTTTAGAGCCTGTGTGTCAAACGCCTGCCATTGGGGAAAAATGTTAGATTCCATTATTAAGAAGATAGTAAGAATTTTAGAAAATCATAACACAATTAGATGGAATTAGCATTATTTTGTGAAAGAAAATGTGACAAATTTATCAGAATTTATAGAGGATGTAACAAGCATGGTGAGTAGAAGGA